TTAGTATTGCTCACCATATCGAATTCTAAGATAAGCGAACCTTTGGGTCTGCCGTCAGTGAAGAGCAGTCAGGCAATGAATGTGTAGATTCATGCAGAATCCACAGAATTTCGATGGCGATCGAGGCGCAATAACGTTAGCAGTAAACAACCAGACGATTCATCCTTGGAGCATTTTGGGCGCGCGTGGCTTTTGGCGCACCTTTGACCACTAGATTTGGTTTGCTGGTGACGTCAAGAGCCGCATTGGCAGTAGCCTTCCACTGAGGACTGCTTCAGCCCCTCATCACCCTGGACTCTGGACTTCTCCAGGAATCTACACACCCCTCTTATATGCTTGAAGCCCTCTTTTCTCCCTGTACCTACCCTATTCCATATCTTTGACTCCACTTGATTTTGACTGATTGCGCCAACATGTCGACCGGTGGAGTAGTCTACAAGGACTTACTCCCACTACCTGACACAGATCCAACAGAGGTCGAGGGAAAAGCAACTACACTACTGGACGCACCCACAGAGAGCCATGCACTAGCCTTAGAAGCTACCAATTCAGCCGCTATAGAGGAAAAGGGTGCAGTCCAGATTGAGCATGCTGAAGAAGTCGTGGATCTTGGATGGAATGAGCCAAAAGAACATGTAGCAAAGCCCTTGGTTGGGGGTCTCTCCAACGAAGACCTATGGCTACTGGTCCGAAGATTCAACAAGGTAAGACTCATTCAGGCAATATACCCAGAGCGCACTAGACTAATAGCCCATAGCAAATGTATCATGTCAAGGAGATCCCGACAGCGCCCCCTGGAGGTTTGGACATGAACATTGCAGACCAAGAGGAATTTTCTCCAGACAAATTGCGAGCCAGCATTGAACGCTTGTACATGACCATCGTAAGGCTGCAATTCTGGGTCTCTATTGCCTTGCGCTGACCCTTGTTAGGGAATTGGAATGATGGCATTTTGGAAGCACATTGTTCGATTGCGTTCATGGCGTGAGACTCGTCGCACGACTACAGCTTGCGCTGCGTACTTCCTGGCCTGGTATCTCGACTTGATTATGCCTTTCATGTCCCTGGTCCTAGTAGTTCTTATCGTGCACCCAGAGTCACGAGCTGTCATGTTTCCCCCTGCCCCAATCGCCCTAGTCAGTTCCAAAGGAGGTGTGCAGAAACCAAAGTCAGGCATCTTGGGTAGTACCGACAGTGTCACTGGTGCTCCTGAGAACCACAAGGGTGAAGCTGTAGAGCAAGAGGCCTCCAATTTTGTCAATGGCTTTGCCTCAATTGCCTTGTCAAGTGCAACTGGCAAGCATCCCCAAGGCGAGCCTCCAGAAAGCGACTCTCATGACGACAAAGTCCCCGATCCAACAAGACTCGCTATCAGTGCTGCAGATGCGAAAGACAAGGCCTCCGGTGATATCTCCGGTAAAGAGCACGACAAGACCAAGGTGCCCATGGAAACTGCCATGTGGACCAAGATGAGGCCTATCATGCACGGCCTTGCTGATGTCACTGATACTTGGGAGCGCTTTGCCAAGTAAGTACCTCTCGTACAGAATCTTTGATTACCTTGCTAATTTTAGTATAGTATGCTCGAACCAACACCGCCATTTCCTAAAAACAAGTATCATTTCCGATTAGCTGGAGTCGTTGCACCACTCTTCCTCGTTTCTCTCTTTTTCACTTCCTACATGTTCACCAAAGGGGTCACACTTGGCGTAGGATTTGGATTCTTTGGAGATCCAATCATCTCTCGTGGACTGGCCTTGTTGAACAGCAAGTTCCCACACTGGCAAAAGTTACTAGAACTCCGCAACACATTACTAAAAGGTGTACCTACCAATGCCCAACTCGCCATCACGCTTCTCCGCGTCGGTGAAGCCAACAAGGCCCCCTTACCACCACCGCCTCATGTCGCTCACGCGCCACCAGAGAAGCCCGTCGAGATCAGCGAGCAAGAACTTCGTGCCACAGGTGCAGACTGGCCCCTCAACGCTACCCAGGAAGAGCTCGACGAAGCCATGGCACACGAACCCAGTATCCCCCATGAGACCGGCGGTCAAGATATTGACCAGGCCAAAGACTCTAAACATGGTAAGAAAGGCAGTAAGATCCTCGGCTTCTTCCGCGGCACTGTCAAGGGTGGTGTTGAGACTACTCTGACTGCCGATAAAGTCAAAGCTAAAACTGGATCTACACACGCAAAAAACAGACTGGGGGCTGTGCCTCCCAGGGGTGTAGATTTGACGTCTGGTCCTGTAGAATTCATCTGCAGACATGATGGGAAGAAGGGACATGCGTATATTACGACCAAGGCTACTATTCCATGTATCGCGTTCTCGACCGACAAGACGATTGAGAAGATTGGCAGTGTGGATCGTGAAGACCTGCATCCGCTGTGGAGTGTGCCCATTGGGGACATAAGTGAGCTCCGCAAGGTGGGTGGCTTTGGCTGGAAGGCCAAGCTGGTCGTAGGCTGGGCAATGGGTCGCGAGGTCGCTGACGGGCTGATCATTACGACCAGGACAGGTGAAAGTTTCAGACTTACTGCTATGCCTTTGCGGGATGAGCTATTCAACAGACTTGTAGCTATGGGTGGGCAGAAGTGGGAATGTTGGTAGAGGCTGGGTGGTAGTATGTGAGCTTTGTGCGGACTATCGGATATCTCGAGCTGTTGTGGAGTAAATAGTGTGTAGTAGTATGTCATCCTCGTTTTATTTTTATGGCGTGTGGGAGTCCATACATTCTTGGGACAGGGATGTCGATGGGATAATACACATAGGATACCCTCAAAGCACTGGATATATTCCCAATTTCATACACCTTTGCAGTATAACATCACTTGGCCAGATGCACTCTAGTATTAGGAGACGGTATATTATAGAACCTAAAAGGGTAGCCCAGTGTCTATATATCAGGTGCAGGTCATGGAAAGCAAATGTATAGCCAACCATGGTAGGTGCAAGCCACTTATCCAATACCGTGCAAACCCCCAAAAGCCCCCAAAGTCATCCGCACTCCAACAAGAGCAGGTCGTCCCATCCTCAACCCGATATCGTGATACCCCAAATCGCACCCTATTCGATATTGAATTCCATGTCGTCGTCTTCCTCCTGCTCCTCCGGCTCCTCCTCTTCCTCCACCTCGGCCCCAGCAACGCCAGCATTGAAAGACGGGTAGCTCTTGGCAGCAGCCATGGCCATGCGGTATTTCATCTGCAGTTTTGTCCCGTTGATCGCGAGGCCCTTGGCGCGGCACATCTTGGTGAGATCCTCTTTGTTCCACTCCTCATCTGCGTCCTTGAGGTCCTGAACCAGCTTATCCTTGTTCTTACCGGTGACCTCGAAGCCGCGATCCTCGCACATTTCACGGAGGTCGTGGAGTGAAAGGTAGCCTCGAGGGTCTGGGGTATCAAGCGTGACGTCCTTCATGGCGGGAAGGGTGACAGCTGTGCTGGTGGATGAAGCACGCTTGCCTGTGGCCTTGTTGACCTTGGCATCGGCAAGGGCCTTTTGCTTCTTGATCTGCTGGTTGCGTTGGGTTTTTGCGGTCTTGTTGGCTGAGGCCTTCTGGGCACGGATCTGGGCAGTGGCAGCACGCTTGATCAGGCGTTGAGCTACTGCGGCCTCCTTCTCGGCAATCCTGTTGGCAACTTCCTCGGATCGCTGAGCGTGAGCTGCCCTCGCTTCTTCCTTTGCCTTGTTCTCGATGGCCTCTTGTGCATCCTTCTCGGCCTTCTCCTTATTACGAACTTCTTCACGGGCGAAGCAGAAGGCCTCGCGCTCGGCACGACGGGTGTCCGGGTCGTCGTCTTCTTCGGTAGGGATGGCAGCGGTACCGCAGGTGATGGCGTTGTAGCGGTCACGGCAGGCATTGGCAGAGAAAAGAGCGTCCTTGTTGAGGCGGCGCATGTAATCGGAGACCTTGCGGAAGCGCCAGGCACGGGCACGCTCGATCTCGTAGTTTGTCTCTATATCAGCGAGGGCAAAGGCCCGCATCAAGAGTTTGTCCTATATGTGAGTCAGTCGAGGGTCTCTTAACCGCTTCGACATGAGTATTTGCTTACATCCTCAGTCTCCCACTCCTTGTAGCCTTCAGCAAGCAGGAAGTCGACATTCGCAGTTTGAGCTAGACGAATGCGCATGATGCGTGTGGATATGGACTTTGAGTTATACCGAGTACCTCCATTTTGGGCCAACCGATTTGCAATCGCGACATCAGTATAGCCGTGGTCGCGCATATCCATCAAGAGCTGATCATCGATGTCGAGACAGGCAGAGACACGCTTGTGGTAAGCTGGCAGACACTCACCTTTCCTACGATCACGGCGGCCAAAGGTTCCAAGGACACGGGATGATTTGGTTGGTAAGCGGTCACCATCATCGTCCAAGACAAAGCCTTTGGCGCTATCAATTGGGAACGCGTTGTCGATGCGAGGAGAGCTGGTTCGAACACGCTTTCGATTATTGCCTGTGCTGGATGGTTCGAGGAGATCTTCAGTCTCGCAGCTTTCGCTCTCCTCCTGATGGTTGGGAAGACCAAGATCATCGTAGCCCTGGAGCATGAAGTCGTCATCGTCGATCTAGAACGTTAGATCTGGAGCCAGTTCATCGTTCGAGTCACATACATCGTCAGGCTCCTCAGCGTCGTCCACGAAGCCGTCGTTCTCACTGACAGCCTCATCGTCAACATCGTCCCCAACATCATTGATGTTATCATCGAAGTTGATATTCTCCATAGTCTCATCATCTGTGGAAATCTGTCAGAGGAAACTCGAAAGCAAGGCTGCAGAATACATAGAGGTATGAAGCAGAGCGGGATGTGATAAGAGCTTTTGTGGGTTATTAGAAAGCTAATGGTAATAATTTGCGCTGTCACATGCAGCAGAAGCGCGTCTGTATAAGTAAAGTCAGTTGGCAGTAGTCGGCAGCCTCAGAGGTAAACGTACGGATCGTTGCAGTCTTTGGTCTACTGGCTTCGATAGTGTGTGTCTCTGAGAGAGAGAGAGAGAGAGAGAGAGAGAGAGAAGAGAAGAGAAGCTTGAAAGTCATCAAAACGGCGTTCTCATGCGGGCTCACGAGGCAGACTGAAGGAAAGAGCCGTTGATATAGCAACATGTCAAATGGTCAAGACGTGGGAGCCGCCTTTTACCTCAGCTGGCAGGACTTAGCGGGAGTTCACGAGCAAGTAACATCATAGCAGAATCGATAAGCGATAGCCTTAACAAGGCCTTTGAGATAAAGTAAACGTTACAGTTTCGAGGGGTAGATATACTTGGGGTTCTCAGGGACGACAAGAAATTGAGTCTGGTGACGGGTACGGCCACTCACTCTACATGCTAACTCACACCCAACAAGATTCATCGAAACATCAACACAATGATATCGAGGAGTATAGATCTTCATGCCATGTAGACATGATGCCGTGATCAATGAAAGCGGAATAGATGTATGACCTCGGACTTGTAAGGAAATGTCCGTCTGGAAACAATAGAAATGGAAGAGATTACTTGAGTAGAGCGGTCAGATAAAAAGTTGACACAATTTGGCTCATATTTCCATCCAATTACTTGGGAAGACATCCTTGAGGAGTTCGTGCTGTGCTTAACCCGGGTTCAAGATATTCTATAGCCTGTAGGGCGTTTTGAAACTTGAAAGCGATGACCCGTGGCATGATCTTAGACCAGTGAGTAGCAACCGTCGAGTCAATTTTAATGATATCAGAGATAGGTCGAGTCAACATGGCTATTTGTCAAAAAGTAGCAATCGCTCGTGAAGGCAAAGATGAGTGCAACACTCTGCGTCCGCCAATGTTCGTGGCGCTACCGGTAGTTCAAGACCATGATCCCTGCCTATGACGCAGCCGATCTCCAACATGCGGGACAACGATCAAGACTGGGTAGTAAGGCTGGCCACGACATGCTTCGCACAAAGGCGTATACAGATCGCCCCGAGACATCAACTACACGCTAAGATCGACAAACTTCATTCTGAGTACTTGTCAGCCTACCTTCCTCCCATTTCTCCTCTTGCCCTCCTCTCCGCTTCACTTGGATTGCGCCACACAACAGCCATATTACTTCCGGTCCTTCACCATGGCATCCTATCTCCAGAAGCTGCGTCGACAGTCCAAACATCTGATACCCCAAACCGAACCCAAGTCTGCAGAGACCAAGGTCCAAGATGCAACCCGAACCGACGAGACTGCTGTTGGACCCAGCGCAACAGTCCCACCTGAGCCAACCGTCACAGAACCCACCGAAGAAGCAGGCGCCGAACCTGTCCTGGATGCAGAGGACCAGAAGTTTTTGGAACGTTTGGCTGCCATAGCAGATGAGCCCGAAGGCCCCGCACCTCCGCTGCCAACACGTCCTACACAGCCCACCGAAGTCATAGACAGCAGCGGGCAGAAGCAAGTCGGTCGCGATGCCCAGGAAGCTCTGATGGATGGCGCAGATAAAGTTGCACTTCCCACGAGCCCACCAGAGACAGCTGCTGACGATGGTGTCAAGGGCAAAGGGAAGGGAAAGGGCGTCATGTCATACTTCTCCAACAAGTTTGGCAAGAAGGACGAGAAGGCTTGGACTAAGATGGGCATCGATAAGAAGCAGCCTGTTATCACAGCCAAGGACAAATCACAGTTTGCAGACGATCTCCAAGCTGCTGCTGAGGCATCCCGAAATGCCAGCCTTACAGAGAAGCAAAAGGAAGACAGGGAACTTACCGATGTTCTCGACCAGCTGAACCTCTCTGCAGTCAATAACCGCGTCTTCTCCTTCAGCAAGGAGTCGGAGGAGCTGCTCAATAAGTTCACTCAAGTCCTCAAAGACCTTGTCAATGGTGTTCCAACAGCATACAACGACCTTGAAAAGCTCTTCACAGACTACGACAACCAGCTGAAGAAGATGTATGGCAGTCTCCCGCCCTTCCTCCAGAACCTCGTCAAGAGCTTGCCTGCTAAGCTCACAGCGACCTTGGGTCCTGAAATCCTGGCCGCTTCAGCAGAGAAGCCTGGCTATGATGCAAAGACAGCAGGTAACGGCACCAAGTCGAAGAAATCCAGGATCCCATCCATCCCGACTCTGAAGTCTCTCGTAACGGCGCAAGGCGCTGTTGCGACTGCACTCAGAAGCATTGTTAGCTTCTTGAAACTCCGCTTCCCAGCTTTGGCAATGGGGACCAACGTTGTCATGAGCTTGGCTGTGTTTGGTGAGTCAATCGATTCCTATTCCAAATTTCACAGTACCATACTAACTTGTGACCAGTTCTTCTGTTCGTATTCTGGTACTGCCATAAGCGTGGCCGCGAAACTCGTCTCGAGAAGGAACGCTTAGCCGCTGAAGACAGCCAACCTGGTGGCAGCAGCGCTTCCTCCATCAATGATGAGGCCGATTCTATCTTTGGTGATAAGCCCAAGGGGAATGGCGGGGATGCAGACTTACCTAAGCCTCCGCTGGTCATTTCAGATGACGAGGATACGAACGGGTCATCTGCATCTGCTGCAGATTTACCCAGCGTTTCTCATCTGCCCGATCCAAAGGATGGACAAGTTCCCGTTCCCGCGACACCAGCACAGCAGAAGTAAGACTTGTTCCCGGAGATGACGGGAGTATTAGGACATTTCGTTGGCTTAGACTGCATCCATTTGCGTATACCCTGCTTCAATAATGTCTTAATGAACAACGACTCATGATATTCGATTTCATTTTTCAAGAAATTATTGTGCCGTGACCCGTTGTCATCAATCGTACGGATTCGTACAATGTCCGAGCACAGATATGGCCGACACCGACCCACTCTCAGCAGTTTCAATCTCTCGCAGTAACATCCACCCACATATCCCTAATCTCCCACAAACCCAAACTATTGAACGTCTTCCACGGCGCCGCGGGGTCCGTAAGCGCAAGATCAAAGTGCCTCAACAGCTCAAAAATACATTTATGGATCTCAATCAGCGCTATATTGCGGCCCAGACATACCCACCTCCCATGCCCAAAAATCATGTCATTCGTCTTGGTCATGCGAGCGAGCCGGTCCCGATTCTCCGCTGTCGAGCTGTCGAGGAACCAGCGCTCCGGGCGAAAAACGTGTGCGTCTTCGCCGTAGAGAGCGCGATTGTTGCGGTGCATGGCCCAGGCTGAATAGCCGATCAGAGTGCCGCCTGGTATGTGGGTTTCGGTGCCATTGATCGTGAAGATATCGCCTTCGGGCGGGGTCACGCGGGAGAAGAGGTTCACGACGGGAGGGTGAACGCGTAGGGCTTCTCGGACGACGGCACCGAGGTAGGGGAGTTGGCGAGCGGCTTTGTCGGAGACGGTGTTTGGGCCTGCGATGTCGGACTCAACTGTGTGGTCGATTTCGGATTGCAGTTTGGTGTAGACTCGTGGGTGGGTCATGAGGTAGAGGAGGATGATCCGGATGGCCGCCGCTGTGGTGTCGGAACCTGCAATGATTTGTTCGAATGCTTCTTGGACTAGATTATGGAGATTAGATGAAGTCTTTGTGCGCGGTGGAGATGGAAATTTACATAGATCATCTCCTGCAACTCCATTCCTCGCAAACGACGCCAGCATGTCCGACTTCTCAGACGTTGACTTGAGCCTTCTCTGATTTACAATCTTCCTCGCCTCTGTCATCATCCTACCAAAGCCAAAAGTGTCCTTTTCAGAGGGACTGATAGCTGGCCCAATGATTGGCATGTCTTTCAACCAGGCTATACCTAGTGCGAGAGCTGTATTGCCAATCCTGAGGCCTTCCTCAGATGATTTGAGATAGTCCTTAATATCTTCATCTGCTCTGAGGTCACCAAATGGTTCGCCTAGGCCAATGTGACTTATAACGTCGAGCGTGAAGAACGGAATCTTCTTCGCTAAGTCCATGGGAGTTGATGGTACTGTGGTGTTTTTTGTGGAAGCGTACTTTCGAACCAGAGCTATGAGCTCTTCGACATGCTCGTCGATTGAGGGTTCCAGTGTTGGATTTTCTTTGCCAGAATACTATACATAATCAGACATATTGTGACATGAAGACTTCGATACCCTCGCCATCAATTTTAAAGGGCCTTCCAACGAGCATTGCGCACACAAGACTTACTCCAGCCGCCATCTTCTTGCGCCTCACATCATGTCTATCGTTATCACAGTCAGTGAAGACGTTGTCCTTGCCTGATTCAAATCGGGCAGTATGGTAGAACCACGGAGCACGCGAGTACGGCGACCGCACTGCGTTGATCTTGGCCCAGACGTCCGGATCAGACGTTACTAAATGGTTGGGTGCGATTCTAGCAATGGGACCTAATCGGTTAGTGTTTGTTACACTATCTGCTAGCAATCATTCACGCTACGAACCATATTTTTCACACACGTCTCCATAGTACTCATAAGATTTCCCGCTCGCCACAGCTTTTGAATGCCGTATCCAAGAGATACCTGCCGTGCGAGGACCTTTGAAGTGTCTCAAGCGCCAGTATTCGCGCGCGCGGCCACTGACCAGGTATATGGCAAGGAGAAGGAAGAGGACCGGGAACAGCTGAAAGGGGACACCAGTTAGGAACGACATGGCTTAAAGGAATTCGCCGCCAGTTTCTTCGTTCTGATGACAGATACACGACAGAGATATAGAGTACCAGCGGGGCTCTTAGTAGCTCGACACGCTATTGGAGGCTAGGTAATGGATGCGCGACTAGGATCGAGTCTATGTACGGTACAAACCGCAGGCGAATGGTGATTCGGCATTGGACGGACATGATGTTTTTTCCTTGCAGCATGTGCAGTGTGCAGGTACTTGGTCGCCTGAACGCGTAGACATTCACCATTCCATGCTTACGGACGTGTAAATTTACACACGATCTTGTCGCATGTTCTTTGTCGTTGACTGGCCTGTGAAAGGACGGCAGGCTGGTTTGCATTTAATATTACTACGTGTGAACACCTAGGTACGGTACGGGTACCTGAGTAGCTAACATAGCGGAAAGGGAACGGCTACAGCAACAATAGCAACCCTGGAGTTATACCAACACCAGCACGCTAAGTTTGATCAATTTTCTAAGGGTGAAGTTGTGGCTGGAAGCAATGGCGCTGATTTGGCCGTGAAGACAATCCAGCTCGCCTAGGTATGCTTCTCGATGTGGTCGAGACCCCAGGATCCTTTCCGCATGCGCCCATCACCAACGTTTTGTCCCGTAGAAGCAGACCTGATTTTTAGCGTGCTTTGCAATGCAATGTCTTGCCCTTTCTTCCAGTATATGTCACTTGCTGAGGTCTCCAATTCGATCAATTCGAGTTCGCCGTCTTTTACCATCTCCACATTACGGTACATTCCGAACCCCTGTAAAAACTCATTGAGATCAACTTCGATTCAATCTCCGTGTGGGACGATTGCATACTTCTCTCCGTCTATCGTTTGAGGGACGACATATTACAAGGGCATCATTAGATCTCGAAACCACCAACTACACCCGCTAGAATGACCACGCCGAGAACGGACCGTGAACCAGCCGATGCAACGACTACAATCGCTTCAGATTCACCAAACACTGCTGAGGTTGGCCCGATAGAAGCCGTAACGAATGCGCCCTCGACAGCAACAGCCCAAGCTGCAGAGGCCGGTCCATCGGAGGGACCCTCATCAATTGCACAATACATCAATCCTATCGTGGCAGTAGTATGTTTTGTATTTTTTGTCTAGCATTCCTAGTCTTTTAGACCCTTTTCATTATGGGTAGATTGTTGCAGAGTTGAGTTGGCCAGGTCTGACTTGTCGCAGGGTACGAATACGAGCTCCGACGATACAGATTCTGCTTTTGGTGATGATGATCACTTGAGCGACACAACTTCAATATCTTCTACTATTTGGAAACATCGTTTCGAAAACGGCCGGCGATACCATGTGTTTCGGGAAGGTGAATACTGGGGGCCCAATGATGAGGTATATGACCGCGATAGTGGTAATTGAAGGGTATTGACTAACATGTCCAAGGTGCAAAACGATCAACTCGACATTGCCCATCACATGTTCCTCATCCTCTTGGGTCACAAACTGCATCTAGCTCCTGTGACGAATCCAAAAAGGATTCTGGATCTGGGCTGTGGTACTGGCATCTGGTGCATGGACATGGCAGATGAACATCCGGACGCAGAGGTCATCGGTGTTGACCTCTCACCCATCCAGCCTTCCTTCACGCCACCGAACTGCAAGTTCGAGATCGACGACGTGACGTCTCTGTGGACATACCCCGCAGCATATTTTGATTTCATCAATATCCGAAGTCTATATGGGAGTATAGGTGACTGGCCAGCCCTTTATGCACAGGTCTTCCATGGTCTTGAACCTGGAGGCTACCTTCATCAGCTGGAAATGAGTATCCAGTTCAAATCTGACGACAATACCCTGGCACCTGACCATCCGCTTTCCCAGTGGTCTGATGTCTTCCACGAGGCGTCCAAGAAGTTTGGCAAGTCCTTCTACGAAGTCTGGAATTTGTCGACGTACATCAAGAATCAAGGCTTCGAGGACGTCGTCGAACGAGTGTACAAAGTACCGGTAAATGGATGGCCTGCCGATGCACATATGAAGGAACTGGGTCGCTGGAACCATCTGCATATCACACAAGGAGCGGAAGGATGGGGTCTATTCCTGCTCACAAAAGTCATGGGCTGGACGGCTTTGGAGGCACAGGTCTTCATTGCAAAATTCAAAACAAGCGTCAAGGATAGGAACGTGCACGCTTATTTCGAGGTCGTGGTCATCCATGCGCGGAAACCGAGCGCATGAGAAGTAGAGTGCCGGATGAGTAACATCAAGGAGAGGACCAGTAAATAATGATAATGACTACAGCAATTGTCTCTCACCCCCAACCGGCTGGCCAAGCTCTACGGTATGTGATGTCGTACATGGTCGCTAACGTCAGAGGCGGAGAGTGTCCGAGCGTTTCACAGAACCAGACCCTGATACGGAACATCCTTGGAGCGCTCCATATCAAAATGACGGCCACCTTCCGCAAACATCTGGGACAGTCCGCCGGCAAGACTCACAACCCGATCACACTGGACCAGACAAAACAGCATGTTGCGACCCTCCGCTTCCACCACGATCATCTCGGCTTCCATGACTCGTCCAGCCGTGGCTACCGGACGGAAGAACAGCATGGCCTCATGCCGCGGGCTGGAATGAACGGGCAACCTGCGCAGGGCGAACCACAAGCTTCATCGCACACGTCTACAACAGCGGCGCAACATGGCGGCAGACACGATGATACAACGCTGAGCGCGCCCTTGCTGGTGCCGTACCCGTCGCCAATCCGTCCCACTGACGCATCTCCGCCTGACCACTTTGATATGCTCCCACCACCGCCGTCCACGCATGCTTCATGGCAGGCACTTCACGACTACGCGCAATCGCATGCTGCAGCACATGGCTATGCACTCTCCATCAACACGACCGCGAAGAACAGGACTCGGATTAAGCTCGCGTGTGTCTGCTACGGCCAGCCCAAGAACACGCACAAGCTCACTCCCGAAACCAGAATCAGGAAGAACCGGGTCAGCTACAAGACAGGATGTAGAATGTGGGTGGATGGCAAGAAACAAGACAACGGTACCTGGATCCTGCGCGTCGGTGAGGCACAGCATAACCACCCTGGAAGAGCCAGCGAGGAATGGGCTGTTCAGCGAAAGAGAACGTGGGGTGTTGTAGGCGGGCGCGTTGGTGTGGGCGGGGTGACTGCCAAGGAAGAAGCCAGCCAACATAGTCCAGTGAGCAAGGAGACGGGCGAGACGGGCGAGACGACGGAGCCAGCGCCCGACGGAGTCGAGCTTCGCCCAATGGCCATACACAAGCTTGAGCGCGGCGGTCTCATATGGAAGGTTGTCGAGCAAGAAATGCTGCGCAAAGGCGAGCCAGGTCAGGGTCGCGATCGAGGCGTAGGCCGCACGGTGGAGGTGTTGCGGGGCCGGCTCCCAGGAATATGCATCTTCAAGCGCGATGTTTACAACATTCGAGCGCAGATCAGGAAGGCGAGGAAGGCAGCGGGCCAGCAGATTGGCGAGGGTCTGGACGACAGCGAGGCTGATGAGGACGAAGAGGAGCACGAAGGCGCTGACGAGGGCAACACGAGCTCGGAATCAGCGATTGAGCTTGCAGCCAAAGCGGCAAGCCTTCGCCAGCGCCAGACGGAGCATCACCCCAATAGCGCGACTTGCTTGCCGTGTTCTACCATGCCGGAACCTATTGATCCCTCCCTCGCTACGCTCCACGCGGATAGCAGGACAAAAGTGATGCCCACTTCTGGACCTGCACAAACCAAAGGATACGAGCTAGAGCGACTACGGCGGGAAAACGCAGAGCTGAGGCGACTGCTGGGTGAGAAGACGGACGAGGTGAAGAAGAAGAGTATTGAGATTGCTAGTCTGCGCACACAAGCGGATTACATGGCGATGATGAGCATGGCTGACGGTAGGGCACGGTAGGGGATGGTGTAGGAAAGAGGAAAAGAGGAAAAGGAAGTACAACTTTCTCCCCTCCATGGTTGATACGGGGACTACATGGCAACATGTGCATGATTGCGAGGTTGTGCATAGCAGACTCGCTCCCACTTAGACAAGTCATCCAAGGCTGACAGCAACCGCATTGCTTTGCCTCTTTTACAGTGCGATGCTGTGTAGTGAAGTAGTGAGAGTGAAGTAGTGAGAGTGAACTTCTTCTTCTTCTTCTTCTTCTTCTTCTTCTTCTTCTTCTTCTTCTTCTTCTTCTTCTTCTTCTTCTTCTTCTCTCCTCTTTCCTTGTCCAACGCGCTTGCAAACACGCACCACTCAATGCACTGGCGTGGTGCGTGCAACGTCGAAGAAGGGGTTTAAGAGTACCCTCGGGCGGCTGGCATGGATGGTGAGGGTGACGTTTTAGGTTTAGTAGGGGCGAAGGCGGCTGGCTTATCATGACGGCACGACTTGGATGGTCGGGCATGCAATCTGTGCAGCTCGGGTACTCTAGCAAACTTTGGTCTTGTCAAACACGAAAAAATCGGTCGACTTGGACGGCAAACCAATCTGCTTTGACTAGAGTATACTAGAGTACCTACGTAGGGAGACTAGTACTAGGCAGACGCGTGTGGTTGAGGGGAAATCGAATGCTGTAGAGGCTTAGGAGTAGTAGCGGGATTCCAGGCAAGGCAACGCAAGCCAGATCCGGCCCGTGTGGGTGGAGCGGCTTCTCTGACTCTGACTGACTGGCGCGCTGCTCAGACTCCAACGGCCTTTCGTCACCATCCCCACATCACAGCACAACCTTTCTCGTCACACCTGTCCACCACTTTCCCCCGCCGCGTGAAGCAGAGAGTGAGCTTGCACCCACCTTACCGACCTATTCACCTACTTGTTTTTTTTTTATAAAAATCAACAACCCACGGTTTCCCTTTTTCCCTTTGCTGACGATTGCTCGCGCATACAAGACCGAGCGACTGCTTGTGTTTACCGCTTCTGTACACGGACTCTCTACTCCACACGAAACTTTGACCCATCTCCCCTTGACTCTCAACTCGACACTCCACCACCACCACGATGAGCACGGGAGCCAAGAAGCGGATTTTGAAGGTTCGCTATCCTTTTTTTTTGGGGGGGGGGGGGGGGGGACGTCCTGTTAGGGCAGGCAGATACTGACAAGAGGACAGGAGTATGGCGAGTGCATGAATGACATGCCTACGGGCATGACGATCAACTTTGATGAGAAGAACATGACCAAGTGGGAAGTTCTGATGGAGGGACCGGAACAGTCGACGTATGCTGTAGGTTGCTGAGCGCGGGGCGCCACCCGGCAGAGGAGAGGAAGCTACTAACGGCTGTCGACCTGTAGGGCGGTCATTTTAAGCTCGAAATCACATTCCCGACCGATTACCCTTTCAAGCCACCGGTCGTAAGCTTCCGCACCAAAATCTACCACCCCAACGTCAGCAACGACGACAAAGGGTCCATGTGCTTGGGCTTGCTACGGCCAGAGGAGTGGAAGCCTCCGAACAAGGTCGTGTCCGTCCTCCGCCTGATCCAAACGCTACTCATTGAGCCCAATCCCGACGATGCTATTGAGCCCTCGATTGCCAACGAGTATCGCGAGAACCGCAAGGAGTTTGAGAAGAATGCAAAGGACTGGGTCAAGCGTTATGCAAAGTGAGGAGGCAGGAGAGTGAGTGGGCCAAGTAGAGTGGGGGGGGGGGAGGGTAAAGCAGATGACGGACGGTGGGCATCGGGCGTCTACGCGCATCCGGTAATGTATTGCATTTTGGGCGTTTGGCGAAAAGTACAAGAGGCTGGCATCATTGAGCGATGACGGGGGGGCCGTGTGTGCCATGAGTGTGTGGGTAGGGTTTGCGGACGCGAACCTGAAAGCATGATTGCGGGGACCGGTTCATGGAAGTAGTGTAGAAGGGTACCGATGTAGTAGGTAGTACTCTAGGTAGGCTAAGGGAAACACAGTCTTGTCCTGAAGAAGGAATGAACAAGGCATGGGAAACACTGCAGGTGAATGGAGAAGAAAGATTGGCAATGTGAAAGAGTGTGGTGATGGGGATGAGGATGATGATGATGAGGATGATGATGAGGATGATGATGAGGATGATGATGATGAGGATGATGATGAGGATGATGATGATGATGATGATGAGGATGATGATGATGAGGATGAGGATGATGATGATGATGAGGATGATGATGATGAGGATGAGGATGATGATGATGATGAGGATGATGATGATGAGGATGAGGATGATGATGATGATGATGAGGATGATGATGATTAGGAGGATAATAATGTCGTCAAGGGCAATTTCGGTTGGCGGTGTTGGTCGAGGCCGATGGGGTGGTGAGACAAGGGGCGGAAGACTGTACTCCTGGCGGGTTTGGGGACAGAGTGACAGAGGAGGACCATGTTTGGACTACGGACGAACAGAAAGCGCAGCAGCAGCAGCTGAACAGTCGTCGGCAGCTGAGCAGCAGCCACAAGCTCATTTCCAGCACGAGCTTCGGCTGAAAAAGCAGGGCACAAGCAGTGAGCAGTGAGCAGCGAGCAGCGTGAGTGGGTGAGCAGCTTGGTAGAGTAGGTACGAGCTGCAAGTCGTCGCAGGTACAGCATGCATGCAAGGAAGATGGCACACTGGCCGGACATGCGTCGTGTCGAAGCGAGTCAGCGTCTAACAGACGTGTCTTGCATGTAGTAGTGTCTGTGTGTCTGTGTGTGAGTGTGAGTGTGAGTCTGTGTGTTTTTTTTTTTTTTCTTCTTCTCTTCTCTCTTTTCTTTTCATGTTACTGGGGGGGTTTTTTTTTTGAATCTGCCGTGCGATGCTGTGTTGTGATGTGCTGTGCTGGCCGCCCGAAGCAAAGTCAAAAGCAAAGTTTAATCTTCCAACCTCTCAGCGTAACCTCATCCGATTACATACTTCACTCACTGTACTAGAGGTTGCCTGTTCTTACACACTCTACTAGCTACACTGCACAGCAGCCCAGCAGCCAATCACCAGTAGCCAGACCAGGGATTGCAAAGCGCAACTCTTGGATGATATTCCATACTCATACTGTACACAACCACCCAGGGGCTGGCTGGCTGACCTGGCTGACTGGCTGGCTGACCTGGCTGAATGGACTCTGTTCTACTTCGTACTGGTTCCTCTACTCCATATAGTATCTATCCTCTGTCCAACCTGTGTTACGGTCAAGGGGAAAAGAAGAGAGAAGGTTCCCAAGGGGCGGGGCGCTTATGCAGGTGGTGTGCCAAATGGTGCCGCCCCCGTTACGTCGCCCAGCTGCAGGTCAAACAAAGTCTATTGTAATAGCATGTCCCAGCTACTCTATACTGGGGGTACTAGATGGGACATTACCATGTAGGCAGAGTATAGGCAGAGTATGTGTGCAGGCCATGTCAAAGTCAATGTCAGCAAGACAGGCACACGTCCACCAAGTGTGTGTTGTCTCTTTGCCTTTGCCTTTGCAAGCCTGTCAGAGGTTGGCGAGCTCCTACCGTCCCGCGCACTTGACACAAGTTTGGCCAACGGGCATGGACTGCCGCCTCTTTTCCCTGGCCCACCAAAGAGTCAGTTGCCTAGTTCGACTTGTGTTGCTCAATCCGAATCCGCCGTTCGACGACGCTTCTTTTGTTGTTGCACTTGTTGTCACACCTGTCTGCTCCTCTCCCTTACGCGCCGCTCTCTCTTTACTCATTCACTCGCTCCCCTCCCTCCCTCACTCTTGCTCTCTGCCTTTTGGGCTGTGCACCATACATGTAGGCAGACATACTTGAGAGAATGCGTACCCACATGCATACACCTACACAATAGTACGACCTGTACATACCACCGCTCTCTGCTAGTTCACTCGACATTCCCCACTCGGCGCCCTCCCCACGCACAGCCGTTCGCTGCCCACGGCCTCGAGAGGGCACACGCCTTCCTCAGCAGCCTCTCCCCTCCCTCCTCTCTCCTCCCCCAAAGACTCTTGTCCTTGACCACTGCCCTTTCTCTCTCTCCCTTGCAGAGGAGAACGACGTGGCCAACCCGCCGCCCGCCTACGATACGTCCGGACGGCTGCCCGATAATGTCACGGCCAAGCACATGCACTGCCTGCCTGTCCGTCGCTCCGGTCGAATGATCCAGAGCCTCCCTGTCTCGCTTGTACCATTGGCAAGATTCCGACGCACGCTATGGGTGACACCTTGATTCGTCCTACCATTCCGGGCCTCTCTTCTCACCACATCAACACCCACGCCAACACCAACACCACTACCTACGCCTATTCTAATCCCAGCATCACCACCACCACCACCACCAACAACAACAACAACAACAGCAACAACACCAATACCACGACAAACACCACCATAAACAACACCACAAACACGCGCTCCGAGCCAGTCGCGCCTCCTCACGCCAACAATTACACCCACGCCCATCCCCACGCCCCAGCTCACGCTCACGCTCACGCTCACTACGCCCACTACGCCCAACAGTATCGCCCCTCGGCCGCCGACTTCACGC